TTAGGGAACATCTCCAAGATATGCTTGCTGCAGGAGCCATTAGGGGAATCCAAAAAGCCCTTTCTCAAGTAACGTCGTCCTTGTTCGCAAGAAAGACAATTCGCTCAGGTTCTGCATAGACTTCAGAAAGTTGAATAGTCGGACAGTAACTGATGCCTACTCTTTTGCCAAGGATTGATGAGACAATTGATTCCCTCGCAGGTTCCAAAATCTTCAGCAAACTAGACCTACGATCAGGTTACTGGCAAGTTGCCATGAAGGAGTCTGACAAGCCAAAGACTGCTTTTTCGGTCGGCCCACTTGGTTTCTATGAGTGTGAAAGGATGGCGTTTGGACTAACCAACGCTCCCGCCACCTTCCAGCGCTTGATGGAAAGATGTATGGGGGAACTTCATCTAAAAGAGTGTTTGATTTATTTGGATGACGTCATCGTTTATTCCAAGACGTTAGATGAGCACTTTAAACGACTTGATGCTGTTTTTCAACGCCTCAAGGAAGCTGGTTTGAAGCTTAAAGGCAGCAAGTGTGAGTTTTTCCTCCCTTGTGTCACATATCTCGGTCATGTTGTTAGTGCTGACGGAGTGGAGACTGACCCAGAGAAGACCAGAGTTTTGAGGGAGTGGCCCGTTCCGAAGTGTCTTAAGGATCTTCGCAGTTTTTTAGGTTTTACCGGCTACTATCGTCGTTTTGTACCAGGTTATGCTAGTATAGCCAAGCCTTTGAATGACCTCCTTGCTGGACACCCGACAAACACTAAAGGTAAGAGTAAGAAGGATGCAGCTACTTGGACTTGGAATTCAGATCAACAAAAGGCATATGAACAGCTCATTGAGAAGTTGACTACCCCTCCTGTTCTTGGCTATGCCGATTTTACAAAGCCGTTCATCTTGAACATTGATGCAAGTACTTCCGGTTTAGGAGCGATCCTCTATCAGGAGCAGGACGGTCAAGAACGCGTAATCGCCTACGCCAGCAGAGGGTTACGTATTAATGAGCGAAATTATCCTGCTCATAAGTTAGAGTTTCTTGCGTTGAAATGGGCTGTTGTTGACAAATTTAACGATTATTTGTATGGTAACTCCTTCAAAGTTCGTACAGATAACAACCCATTAACGTATGTGCTCTCTTCCGCCAAACTAGATGCAACTTCACATAGATGGTTAGCTGCGTTAGCATCTTTCAACTTCACCTTACAGTATCGTGCTGGACGTTCAAACATAGATGCAGACTTTCTTTCAAGAGTTCCTAATTCATCTGAAACTGTGGTTTTCAATGACGCTGTCAAGGCTATTATACAAGGTTGTATGTATATTAAGGAATCACCTGTTGTTGAATGTATTTCTATGAGTCAGAAAGTTGTTGATATAACTACTGATGTTTCATCAGACTACCTTAGTGATGTTGATTGGAAGCTGGAACAGACAAAAGATCCTACAATTTCAAGGTTAATACAGACCTTTTCTACTGGTCATAAACCAACTAGAAGACTTTCTTCACGGGAAACTGAATCTGTTCGTCAATACCTTCGAGAATGGCCCAGTCTTTTTATCAAGGATGGTATACTTTATCGTCATGGTCAGGTATGTAATCATCCCGTAGATCAGCTTGTTCTGCCAGACTCATTTAAGGATATGGTTTTCACTGGTCTCCATGACAATGCCGGTCATCAGGGTATTGACAGAACCAATTCCCTCATCAAATCTCGTTTCTTTTGGCCAGGTTTGGATGGTTTTGTTGAAACTCGAGTACGGAAGTGTCCTCGTTGTATTCGGCGAAAAACACCTTTGTCAACTTCTGCAGGACTTATTCCAATCCATTCTTGTTATCCTCTAGAGCTTGTCTGCATGGACTTTTTGACCTTAGAGATGTCAGCAGGTGGATATGAGAATGTGTTAGTAATCACTGATCACTTTACCCATTATGCACAAGCCATACCGACTAGGAACCAAACAGCACGCACCACGGCGAAAGCACTTTTTGATAATTTCATCTGTCATTATGGTTTCCCTAGTCGCCTACATAGTGATCAAGGCAGGAATTTTGATGGAGCAGTTATTAAGGAGTTATGTCAGCTTGCTAACATCGCTAAGTCTAGGACTACGCCTTATCATCCCCAAGGTAACGGAATGCCTGAAAGGTTCAACCAGACACTTCTGAATATGCTAGGTACTTTGGAGGATAAGAAGAAGCTGAATTGGAAAGCTCATGTACCAGCTCTTGTACATGCATACAACTCAACTCGGCATGAGACGACAGGTCTGACACCACATTTTCTTATGTTTGGGCGCCATCCTCGCCTTGCATTAGACGCTTTCCTCGGGATCGACCCAGACATTTCTTTTCACACCAAGAAGCCAGCTGAATTTGTTGAAGGCTTAAGGAAGCGCTTAAATTTCGCTTACAGAGTTGCTAGTCGTGAGGCGAGACGTCAAGCAAAGCGGCATAAGAAGCGCTACAATCTTCGTGTTCGGGAAGTACGCCTTGTTCCAGGTGACCGAGTATTAGTGAGAAACGTTGGTTTAAAAGGTAAGTGTAAGTTAGCTGACCGTTGGAGTAAAACTATCTACATTGTAGTTGATCAGCCTAACCTAGATTTACCTATATTTCAGGTTAAGCCGGAAGATAGTGATGATGCACCAAAGTTACTTCACCGTAATATGCTACTCCCGTTCATGGGTCTCCCACTACAGGAACCGAAACGACTGTCACATCACTCTCCCAGTAATGGCAGTTTTCAGCGAAATCCTCCTGTCAATTCTCTTTCCTTTTCAGACACAGCAGCACCTAAACCTTCTGAGTCTTCGAGTACTTCCATTAAAACCTCTATTTCAGACAATCCATCAGTTGTATCCGCGGAATCTGATAAGTATGTAATTCCTGCAAGACGTACAGGTAATAGTTTGTTAAGACCGGAAGCTCCACCTTTTCTTCCACGAAGAACTTCTAGAGTAAGAGAGAAGCCACGCTGGATGACTGATGATTGGAATTTGAGTAGGAAACGGTAGTACATATTCTCAGACAGATGTTAAATTTGATTTTGTCATTTTTTGTAAATTGTTTTATAAAAGATGAGAACAATAAATTGTTTTAGTTGAGTTTTGTACTGCATGTTTAGTGTTCAACCCTTTTACAGTTGGACACTACGCTTTCCTCTTTTGATTGCATCTGACGGACCAAGTGGGAGACTCTATGATGGATAGTTCGTAAAGCCCTTTGGGACTGAATTGTCTTAATGTTCGTCTTCTGCCTTGCTTCGTCGGGCCCTTGTAGGTGATTTTCTTGTTGCTCTGTCTTCCTTTAGGACATTGAGTACTTTTGTTATGGTCATTGGGTTTACTTTTATATGTTTCTACATGATCATTTTAGTGTTTTACTTATTTAACCTTTTGTAACCATAACAACTGTTAGAATTTCACTTGGCGGGGATTCATTTTATTTACACTGTCTCGTTTATAGGAACATGGTGGGGCTAAGAGCGAGGTTTGGTGCACCATTAACCGGTTTAAACTCCCCAGCAGTCATTATTATGCTGCTGACCGTTCCAAGGCGGCGCCCCACTGTGTTCCTCAGATGTATGTCTTATGTTGTTTCATACTGTTTTGGTGACACTTTTGCTTGTGTCCCTTGTTGTTTTCTCGTCTACGGTAAGTATCTTCCCCATTGCCTCTAGTTTTTATTTCTTTGATTACTCCCACCCCCTCCCCCCGGTCTCCTGTCCCCTTCCCCTTTGTGGGCCTATTTTTATTTTCTTTGAATTCCTAATCAGTTACTAATTAATTATCATTTAATGATTAACCTGTCCGTGCTCTGTCTTTGCCCTGTCCTGTTTTTGTTTGGGGTCCCCCTGGGCTCCTTGCCATTGGTTTTTGTTGCTGGGTCATGTGGGGGTTGCGTTCATTGAACGCCGCCTTTCCTTGTTGATCTTGTTTATCATATTGTATAATCTTAATTTCAAATTATCAGTGTTGGTTTACTGATGTTTGAGACTAGTGTTTATTCATATGTGTTATCATATGAATGTAGGGTTTCGTCATATATATTTGTATGTATGGTTTGTATTTAACCGATTTGTAAAATTTCTACAAAGAGATTTGACAAATTTTATTTACTCTGAAAGAGTTACTTTGAATATTGTGTAATGTGAAAACATAACACAAGTTCTACAGTTTTGTAGATGAGTCAGTGTACTAACGTGCATGGTTCACAATCCCAAAGAACGCGTTCACCATTTCCAACAGTGCTTCGGGCACTTTTCTGGTTGTTAATGCCTTACAGCATTTTCAAGCAGTATATATTACCTTTATTGGTAATTTCACTGTTAGGGCAGAAGTACTTTAACGAGTCCCATGTCCTTAGTATTAGTTCTACTGTAGTTAGACAGTATGGTTTTTGATATATATGCAGGTATCAGTAATTTTTGTTTATGAGTTGAAAATGTCGGGACGCCATTTTATCCTTGGCGGGGAAGTATGTCACAGGGTCACTTTGTCTTTGCTAGAATACTCTATACTGTAATTCATACCCATACTCTATATCATTCCTCTATCGTCTCTTTTTCAATCATTCATATCATTATTCAACTTCATACTAATAACTTCATTTGACCTGTAACACGTTGACGGGCCTCATTCACTTCATTTTTGAATTCGGTCACGCTAACCTTTACGCACGCGCACAAGAAATGAGAACTTTTAGCGAGAGCTGTTGTTTTTTTCATTGACTCCGTATTTATATTTTATTGTGTGCCAACAATATATTTACAGGTATATTTGAGGTTATAAAACGTTGTAAACATGAATTACTATGATATGTGTATGTATTTCGCTTGGAATTATCAATGGCACAAGAAATGAGAACTTTTAGCGAGAGCTGTTGTTTTTCATTGACTCCGTATTTATATTTTATTGTGTGCCAACAATATATTTACAGGTTCCTCTTTGAACGCCCTATCCTCCCGAGTGAGAACTCACGTATATCCGTGACATTAATAAACTGTTACATTCATGCATTGGTTTATTTCAATCTAATTTTGCATTAATCTAAAACATAAAATAAATATACAATGTATTTAAATTAATTGAACATCAACATTCAATTTTTCGTTTTCTTATACAAATATTTTTAATTCATTTTTCTTCTTTTCTTTTGATTTTTCTAATCTTCTTTGTTTGTGCTTATCTCGGAATCAAGCTTTGAGGTGGAGGTTGATTTGTTATAAATTTCATCTTCTAAAATTTCTAATCGTTTGATGACTGATTCTAGTAACTGTCCCTTCATTTCTTCAAATTTGTCATTTATAATATCTCTGATGAATGACCTATCATCTTTTGTTAAAACGAAGTTTTTTTATCAATGTTATCTATGTTTGTTTGTTTGGGATTTTTGTTTGTTGATTTTTTGTTTTTGTTGTTTTTTTTTTTTTTTTGTTGTTGTTTTTCTGTTTTCTTCGACGAAACTTGGAGTAAGTTGTGTCGGTTTTTCTTTGAAGGTCTTCTGTTGTCTCATTTAAGGAGCTAAATGCATTTGTTTATTATAATACTAGAATCCATTTCCCTATAGCTTGTGGTGGTTTCCTTTTTTTCGCTTCGGTGTTTCGCTTTCGTAATATTTTTGTTAGGTAATGATGAAAAGAACTTTAACTAAATTTTAGAATAATTACTGAACGGAATTTAAAGTCAATATCACTAGTCATCGCCAAGGAAAGAAACGTAAGAGAAGCTCAGAAATCCTAATTTTAATGTCTTTATTTTGTGCTCCTCATCTTTCATAAACTCTTTCAAATTCCTCGGTTTTAGAAGCACGTCTTTCTTGCTTTTAGAAACATGAACCATTTTTGAGAGTTCAGCTTTCAGAGAGTTTACTTCTGGTGTCAGGTGTGTACTGTCATTCATAAGATCATATATTGAGCTTCGCAGATTACTTCCCTCGCAGTCTTCAATAAGAACTCGCCGCAGAGATTCCTCTAGCGGACCTAATTCTCGTTCATCCGGTCTGTCGTTATTGTATGTCTTTAAAAGATAAATTTATATACATTGTTGAAATAAGAAATGAATAGATACAATATACCTTCATATTTTTTACGTGTGTTCAATAAAGCTCTTTCATATTTTCTTTATGTGTTAGTAATTTTGGCCTAAAATTGTGTTAAGAAGTTTCGTCGTAAAATTGTGTCATTTGAATAACCAAAATCCTTTAAGCATAGCACATGGAATTTCGACATTCGAATTCTATCTGCTAAATTATTAAAAGCTTTCTAGTGTGTTCATATATGTTAACTTTAATTATTTAAATACTCTCATTTGTGTTTATGTGTGTATAGTAGATTTATTTACCCAACTTCTTTTAACCCAAATGTCTTGTGTCAATCAAGTACTTTTAAGTTTGGTTCAGTTGGCCTATGACCGGTCGCGTTAAAAAGATAAATTCTATAAAATGGTGCAGTGATAGAGAAGTATGAGGCATACAAACCTTAATAGAATCATAGGCACTCATGAAGAGAGCTATGAGGAGGTTGATTACAACAATTGTAAATATTGCGACATAAGATCCAAGATAGAACCTTGAAAACCACCACACCCAGTGTCCCCCACTTTTATCCCACTCTATTATTGCTAAGGTAGCGTATATCTCGTCGCCGTTAACAACAGCAAACAACGTTTCTGCGGCTGCTTCCGGAGTTTGGAACTATTAAGAGAAAACAGCAATTTACCTCGTAATATAAATAGTCATGCGAAATTTAAGGACCTTTTTTTAATGTTAAATAAATGATTGAACCAACTAAGTACATGAAATAGCTTATTCCGAAATATAACTTAATTTACGGGTTTAATGCTACATTTATGACAAAGTAACGATTTAAGTCGATCATTCAATTGATACATGCTTTAAAAATGTGATCTATAAAGATTAGTATCAGCAAGGTTGTTGTGAGTTTACAAACCTTGACATGGTACGGTCCCATAACAACATACCCACAAACCCAGAACCCGACAAACAACACACCTACACAAATAAGGTATGCAATCACATCCCAAAATGCTTTGTATAGTGTACTAAATAGCAGCTGAAATAATAAAAATGTTAAAAGCTAAATAGAAACCATTACATAATTAATCCGGTATATGACATATTTGATATAATCATTTTATAAAATCCTACCACTTGTTCTAAAATTACTTACATACTGTAAACAAAATAAATCATTCATTTAAGGTGTTGTTGTTTTTTTTAAGAAAGGTACCTTTTAACTAATCTTATGTTTTCAATGGGAAAAGAGATTTTATTCACCAGATTATCAATACACGTATTCCCGTTTTAGGGTTAAAGGTGGCTATAAGAATATTTGCTGTGTTACAAAATTCTATTCCATGTTCATTAGCTAAATTACATAATTGTGCAGATGTTTTTAATTGTAAGAAAAATAATTCTTATACTCACATGGAATTTATTATGAAACTTGAAGAACCTAAGCAAGCTTAGCCACGCCAGTACACAACCGACTCCTAACCATACGGTGTAAGAATCTAGCAACTCGAGCTCCAATTCACTTTGCTAAAAATATTTGTTTTTCAAAGTAGGTATCAGTTTAGAATTTGCATTCTATGTCATCCTTTAAAATTATTATGTTTATATTTGTTATGTAAGTAAAATGTGTTACTTCGCATGGAGTGTATGTTGTTAAAACCTATCAAGTATAATAAACGTGAAATTTCTTCTATCATTTTTACATGTAGCATAGAACATGTATTGACGTGTATACATTTAGGTACAGTGACCATTATTTTCATAATGTGTAGTATCATACTTTATTTATAAGACTACAGTGTGAATTGTATGAAATTCATATGTAAGACACTGACTTAAAAGGATTCATTAGAAAAAATGAAAACTGTCATAAATTATGTATATTATATGTTATATATTTACCCTTGTTTTAGACACTATCCAGCGTGTGCCGAATATAGTCAATATATCAGAGATAATAACGATTATATCCCAGAATTTCAAAAACCGAAAGTACTCTGACGCTGGCAGGTCCGTCTCATCTTTATCTACAACCCCGAAGTATGCCTGATAGTGCTTCTTCATAAACTGTTTAGTTATCTGAAAATAACATTCTATTTACAAACGTTTGCTAGATTACAATCATATTCACCAATAGTTGGTAAGAATTCACAAAACTTAAGCTTTCTCACTATGTATCCAATAAATTCAGATTTTAAATTATTTGAATTTTATTACTCAAGGTCATACTGATATTTATTACATCGGGTGGGTCACGGAAAGTGATCACTTTTATCGGACATAAATGAACAAATGACAAATTAACTACGTATAAAACGTTTCAGGTATGATTCGTTTAATGACAATTTATCCTAACAAGAACGTTTCAAAGCAGTATGATAACAAGCTTAGCCATCTTGTCAAACTATTCCAATCTAAAAAGGGTATATATACACGGTTAACAATTACATGAAATATAGAATTCGTCTCATTAGTATACACAATTATTAATACACACTGTTTTTACACATTTATCAGCTGTCGTAATTGATATTGTAAAGGATTGACGTAGATAAAATGATACAAAGTTCAAGCATAATAATAATGACTTTGGTAGTAAGTACCGACATACCCAGAAAGCATAAGCAGCAAAGACCATAGTGGAAGTCGTCAATACTAATGATATAACACATAAAGCAATCACTAAGGCCCCGATGTCTTCTGATGTGTTTTCTAGTTGCCAGTCTGTAATTGGAAAATCAAAATTTGATATCTAGAAATATAAGACATTTTTCTACTATCCTCGAGTTACAGAAAGTCTTGAAAAACGAGCACAAAACGGATATTCCGTGAGAATCATCAGGAGCATTTGGTGTAAAAGTGTTTGTTAAATCATTATCATTTTATGGTATTCTAAAAATATAGTTTTTTACATAAAAGATGAACAATTGAGTGCTTTAATTGAAATGCTTATCTACTAAACAACATTTTTTCATTCAGCTGAATATAATTCCAGGCTAACAAAGGTACAAAATATAAACCACAAACAACAATATAAAGACAAAAACAAAACTAAAAGCTAAAACGCAAACATTATGCATTATGCATAATTAAATTTCCTATAAAATAAATGAAATATTCACATATTGAATTTATTACTAACCTGACAAAGGTAGATTCATGTCTTTACACTTTATTCTACTAGATCTTGTATCAAGGTCAACCAACACTTGACCACTATTGTCCAGATCAACAAATTCCACCTGTAAAAGTTAAATCTTCAAAATCACTTTCCTGAACCTTGATTTCAGACCCTTATCTTTTTTAAAATCGCTTTAATTTGCTAATGTTGTTTGCTTGTGGAAATATATGAGCAGGATCTATTTCCTACGTCATGTGCTTTGGCTTATAGATATTATTATTTTGTCACAGGCTTGCTTTTTCACTTTATATACTAGGCAATAGACGGAGTAACTAAAACTAAATATGTACTTTATACTAAGAACATAGCACGGAAGCACTTGTATAATACAAAATAATAATTGGTTTACAATTTGTCAACTGCACAAAACGAAAAGAAAATGTTGTTAAATCTTGGAAGTACTTTTGATTAACACATTAAGAAATATTGAAACATATATTTGGCATTTACTTTCATATAAGTGTTTCAGTTTTATTTGTAAGGAAGAGAAAATACACTCACCGAGCCCTCTACTCGTAGACATGTTGCTTTCCTACTGCTTTCGTGTGAACGTACGGAATGAAGCTGAAAGCGAAGTGTTGTTGACAACATCCTAACAAAGATATATCACTAATATCATTAAACAAATGTAAAAGTCTAGTCATCGAATATGGACCGTTTCCTCTGTTGCATTAAAGATTGTTGTTTCAACAAATCAGGTTTTGGGAGTTATGTGAAAACTTTGCATCATCTCAAGATAATGTTATGCAACACTTAGCGCAAGGATTATACAAGTAATGCTTCTTTATCATTGTTATATGGCTCTATTTGTTAATTGGCGGGGTATAATTTTCATCTCTCTAAGTGTTATTTGTGGTGGGTTACTTACTACATATAATGCAAAAAAAACATTTACTTCTTTAAAAGTATTATGATATTTATAAAAAGTAATGAATGGAGTCTGTGAAAACAGTTATCTTGAGACTTAATATCTATGATAACAAACCTTTTAATTGGTTGCGTCACATTGTGATGATCAAATTCACGGGTGATATTATAATTGTACACTGTCACATTGGCTTGTGTTACTTCTGCAGACAGTCCTTTGTCAATTATGTGCAATAACTTGGCTAAACAATCAACAATCAACAATCGACATTCAATGTCTAGCTAGACAACCAACATTCAGCTCAACATTCGATCTATAATAATAATCAAACAATTCTCAAAGTGAATGTTGAGCTAGACAATCAACAATCAGCTAGACATTCGAAAATTTCTTATGTCGAGCTAGACAATCAACATTCAGCTCAACATTCGACCTGTAATAATTATCAAAGTATCCTTAAAGTGAATGTTGAGCTAGACAATCAACAATCAGCTAGACATTCGATAATTTCTTATGTCGAGCTAGACAATCGACATTCAGCTCAACATTCGATCTATAATAATAATCAAACAATTCTCAAAGTGAATGTTGAGCTAGACAATCAACAATCAGCTAGACATTCGAAAATTTTTTATGTCGAGCTAGACAATCAACATTCAGTTCAACATTCGACCTGTAATAATTAATTATCAAAGTATCCTTAAAGTGAATGTTGAGCTAGACAATCAACAATCAGCTAGACATTCGATAATTTCTTATGTCGAGCTAGACAATCGACATTCAGCTCAACATTCGATCTATAATAAAAATCAAAGAATTTTCAAAGTGAATGTTGAGCTAGACAATCGACAATCAGCTAGACATTCAGAAATTTCTTATGTCGAGCTAGACAATCGACATTCAGCTCAACATTCGATCTATAATAATGATCGAGGTTTTCTTAAAGTGAATGTTGAGCTAGACAATCAACAATCAGCTAGACATTCGATAATTTCTTATGTCGAGCTAGACAATCGACATTCAGCTCAACATTCGACTTGTAATAATAATCAAAGTATTCTTAAAATCAATGTTTAGCTAGACAATCAACAATCAGCTAGACATTCGAAAATTTCTTATGTCGAGCTAGACAATCAACATTCAGCTCAACATTCGACCTGTAATAATTATCAAAGTATCCTTAAAGTGAATGTTGAGCTAGACAATCAACAATCAGCTAGACATTCGATAATTTCTTATGCCGAGCTAGACAATCGACATTCAGCTCAACATTCGATCTATAATAAAAATCAAAGAATTTTCAAAGTGAATGTTGAGCTAGACAATCGACAATCAGCTAGACATTCAGAAATTTCTTATGTCGAGCTAGACAATCGACATTCAGCTCAACATTCGATCTATAATAATGATCGAGGTTTTCTTAAAGTGAATGTTGAGCTAGACAATCGACAATCAGCTAGACATTCAGAAATTTCTTATGTCGAGCTAGACAATCGACATTCAGCTCAACATTCGATCTATAATAATGATCGAGGTTTTCTTAAAGTGAATGTTGAGCTAGACAATCAACAATCAGCTAGACATTCGATAATTTCTTATGTCGAGCTAGACAATCGACATTCAGCTCAACATTCGATCTATAATAATGATCGAGGTTTTCTTAAATTGAATGTTGAGCTAGACAATCAACAATCAGCTAGACATTCGATAATTTCTTATGTCGAGCTAGACAATCGGCATTTAGCTCAACAGTCGATCTATAATAATAATAAAACAATTCTCAAAGTGAATGTTGAGCTAAACAATCAATAACCAGCTAGACATTCGATAATTTCTTATGTCGAGCTAGACAATCGACATTCAGCTCAACATTCGATCTATAATAAAAATCAAAGAACTTTCAAAGTGAATGTTGAGTTAGACAATCGACAATCAGCTAGACATTCAGAAATTTCTTATGTCGAGCTAGACAATCGACATTCAGCTCAACATTCGACATGTAATCATTATAAAAGAATCCTTAAAGTGAATGTTGAGCTAGACAATCAACAATCAGCTAGACATTCGATAATTTCTTATGTCGAGCTAGACAATCGACATTCAGCTCAACATTCGATCTATAATAATAATCAAACAATTCTCAAAGTGAATGTTGAGCTAGACAATCAACAATCAGCTAGACATTCGAAAATTTCTTATGTCGAGCTAGACAATCGACATTCAGCTCAACATTCGATCTATAATAATAATAAAACAATTCTCAAAGTGAATGTTGAGCTAGGCAATCAACAATCAGCTAGACATTCGAAAATTTCTTATGTCGAGCTAGACAATCAACATTCAGCTCAACATTCGATCTATAATAATGATCGAGGTTTTCTTAAAGTGAATGTTGAGCTAGACAATCAACAATCAGCTAGACATTCGATAATTTCTTATGTCGAGCTAGACAATCGACATTCAGCTCAACATTCGACCTGTAATAATTATCAAAGTATCCTTAAAGTGAATGTTGAGCTAGACAATCAACAATCAGCTAGACATTCGATAATTTCTTATGTCGAGCTAGACAATCGACATTCAGCTCAACATTCGATCTATAATAAAAATCAAAGAATTTTTAAAGTGAATGTTGAGCTAGACAATCGACAATCAGCTAGACATTCAGAAATTTCTTATGTCGAGCTATACAATCGACATTCAGCTCAACATTCGATCTATAATAATGATCGAGGTTTTCTTAAAGTGAATGTTGAGCTAGACAATCATTATTATAGATCGAATGTCTAGCTGAATGTTGATTGTCTAGCTGGACATAAGAAATTTCTGAATGTCTAGCTGATTATCGATTTTAAGAATACTTTGATTATTATTACAAGTCGAATGTTGAGCTGAATGTCGATTGTCTAGCTCGACATAAGAAATTATCGAATGTCTAGCTGATTGTTGATTGTCTAGCTCAACATTCACTTTAAGAAAACCTCGATCATTATTATAGATCGAATGTTGAGCTGAATGTCGATTGTCTAGCTCGACATAAGAAATTTCTGAATGTCTAGCTGATTGTCGATTGTCTAGCTCAACATTCACTTTGAAAATTCTTTGATTTTTATTATAGATCGAATGTTGAGCTGAATGTCGATTGTCTAGCTCGACATAAGAAATTATCGAATGTCTAGCTGATTGTTGATTGTCTAGCTCAACATTCACTTTGAAAATTCTTTGATTTTTATTATAGATCGAATGTTGAGCTGAATGTCGATTGTCTAGCTCGACATAAGAAATTATCGAATGTCTAGCTGATTGTTGATTGTCTAGCTCAACATTCACTTTAAGAAAACCTCGATCATTATTATAGATCGAATGTTGAGCTGAATGTCGATTGTCTAGCTCGACATAAGAAATTTTTGAATGTCTAGCTGATTGTTGATTGTCTAGCTCAACATTCACTTTGAGAATTGTTTGATTATTATTATAGATCGAATGTTGAGCTGAATGTCGATTGTCTAGCTCGACATAAGAAATTTTCGAATGTCTAGCTGATTGTTGATTGTCTAGCTCAACATTCACTTTGAGAATTGTTTGATTATTATTATAGATCGAATGTTGAGCTGAATGTCGATTGTCTAGCTCGACATAAGAAATTATCGAATGTCTAGCTGATTGTTGATTGTCTAGCTCAACATTCACTTTAAGAAAACCTCGATCATTATTATAGATCGAATGTTGAGCTGAATGTCGATTGTCTAGCTCGACATAAGAAATTTCTGAATGTCTAGCTGATTGTCGATTGTCTAGCTCAACATTCACTTTGAAAATTCTTTGATTTTTATTATAGATCGAATGTTGAGCTGAATGTCGATTGTCTAGCTCGACATAAGAAATTATCGAATGTCTAGCTGATTGTTGATTGTCTAGCTCAACATTCACTTTAAGGATACTTTGATAATTATTACAGGTCGAATGTTGAGCTGAATGTCGATTGTCTAGCTCGACATAAGAAATTTTCGAATGTCTAGCTGATTGTTGATTGTCTAGCTAAACATTAATTTTAAGAATACTTTGATTATTATTACAAGTCGAATGTTGAGCTGAATGTCGATTGTCTAGCTCGACATAAGAAATTATCGAATGTCTAGCTGATTATCGATTGCTTAGCTCAAAATTCACTTCAAGAAAACCTCGATCAATATTATAGATCGAATGTTGAGCTGAATGTCGATTGTATAGCTCGACATAAGAAATTTCTGAATGTCTAGCTGATTGTTGATTGTCTAGCTCAACATTCACTTTGAGAATTGTTTTATTATTATTATAGATCGACTGTTGAGCTGAATGTCGATTGTCTAGCTCGACATAAGACATTTTCGAATGTCTAGCTGATTGTTGATTGTCTAGCTCAACATTCACTTTAAGAATTGTTTTATTAATATTATAGATCGAATGTTGAGCTGAATGTCGATTGTCTAGCTCGACATAAGAAATTATCGAATGCCTAGCTGATTGTTGATTGTCTAGCTCAACATTCACTTTGAGAATTGATTTATTATTATTATAGATCGAATGTTGAGCTGAATGTCGATTGTCTAGCTCGACATAAGAAATTATCGAATGTCTAGCTGATTGTTGATTGTCTAGCTCAACATTCACTTTAAGAAAAACCTCGATCATTATTATAGATCGAATGTTGAGCTGAATGTCGATTGTCTAGCTCTACATAAGAAATTATCGAATGTCTAGCTGATTGTTGATTGTCTAGCTCAACATTCACTTTAAGGATACTTTGATAATTATTACAGGTCGAATGTTGAGCTGAATGTTGATTGTCTAGCTCGACATAAGAAATTTTCGAATGTCTAGCTGATTGTTGATTGTCTAGCTCAACATTCACTTTGAGAATTGTTTGATTATTATTATAGATCGAATGTTGAGCTGAATGTTGATTGTCTAGCTAGACATTGAATGTCGATTGTTGATTGTTGATTGTTTAGCCAAGTTATTGCACATTGCGCTGGGATGTGAAGCTGGCTAGACATTCAGCACAACATTCAGCTCGACATTCGTTTTTTGTCTATTTTTGAATGTTGTGCTGGCATGTGAAGCTGGCTAGACATTCAGCACAACATTCAGCTCAACATTCTTTTTTTGTATATTTTTGAATGTTGTGTTGGGATGTGAAGCTGGCTAGACATTCAGCACAACATTCAGCTCGACATTCG